TATATACTAGTAGCTAAAGAGTTAAATAGTCGGATGGTGTTTTTTAACAACCCACGCTTACTTTTTCAAATATAATGGACCTTAAGACGTGTTGCACGCACCTGTCCGTCCCAGAGCTTTCGTAAATAATATTAACCTAATTTCAATTAAATTTGGTGAATTAAAAAATATCCCGCCTATGCATTAACTGTCAAAAAAGTGGGACAGTTTTAAACCTACCCAAACCCAACGTGTTGAACTACTTTTTCATAAATTCATTCTCATAAAAAAGCTTTTGTAGTAGAATGTGTCTCATCGTGGAATATTCGGGCTTCCCTATCTGGAACACCCAGATTTTTATTTAGAAATTTCGCCTTGCCGATACATTTGCATGTCCTTTTCATTTTCTTCATGCTTTAACACTCGGTCACGGATTATCGATTACTGGATATTGCAAGGATAAATTCACAAGTCATATTCTTCGCGAATAACCGTGACACTAAACTGGTTAGTCGGAAATATTTGCAGCAAACAGCTATAAATTTAGTAAAACCAAAAATTGTTAAACGCGCTAGCAATGGTAGATTACCCTGATCATTGGGACAACAATTTCTCGTCTCTTACACCTACAAATGTTTTTTTACTCTAGGGTTTTATAAATATTCCACCAGAGCATTAACGATACAAAATTTCACTGATTTATTTAAAGACGAGTCAAGGATTAAGAATTTTTTAAACCTTTAAAAACTGTTTCCATACAAAATTTAATTATAATTATACATATCCGAAAAGAAGAAACCCACGTATCAATCTCTCATGATTTAAATAATTAAATTATTCATTTGCACCTACCGATTTTAGATATGACGGCTCGAAGTCATCATTATGGTGACATTCAACTGCAAAAAGTTAACATACCTGATCAACACGCTCGAAATTTACCAATGCATCTACCTGGTCAAAACTCAATGCAGTGCACTCTGAATGAAACATGATCAATGCCTATTGATCGTTTCATTTTTACTGTACAAGACAGCAAATTCTTGTAAGAACGGTATAGTCAATACAAATTTGTCAGTTCACTGTACCGGGAAAATCCAGTTACTACCAATATGCATTAACTTCATAATTTAGGAATGCTATTAACTTGAGATTACTTTGGTAAATTTGGTAAACAAAAGATTGACTCATTATATACAGATTTAGACCAAATGCATACAAGTGGTTTGCAGAAAAATGCTGCATTGGTGATTGTTTTGGAATAACAGGAATAAAGATTTTCTATCCCATAAAAGAAGGAGAACAGAATTTTACATCTCTATTCTTCCAAAACAGTCAAAGTTGTGATATTTTCCCATAAACCGCTCGTGTGCATTTGGATTCTTATTTGCCATTTTTATAAAAATAAAGTATTCCGCCTTTAACATTCATTCTGTTTCGGATTCGGATGACAATTTCTCTCCTACAAAGTATTAAGGAGAGACGTGATTGCTATTACGCTCTTTTCACTTGCAGCACGTACCTGTTTAGAATTCACATGTCATCTCTATGATAGCAATTTCCTTCTATTTTCACCAATTCTCCAAGATGTTCTGCAATTTCATCCCCATTTGATTAATAGCGTATGTCTGTATGTAGCGCAATCAGTTAGTCCATTGAAAACAATGAACATATCACTCACTGGCGAGAGTAAAATTTGTTTCGTATTGTGGATTCAAACATCGTCTCGTTTTATACATCTTTAATGATACATAGTAGTAATACAAGTGACTCATAGTCATTTGAATTGTACATACTTACAATTAACTTGAAGGAGGTAGTGTTTCGACTCATTTCCAATATATAAATTATTTCAATATATTCGATCTATACAAAAATTCCAAGCTTTAGCCCTTAATGAGCACTAATGGATACTATACCTCAAACTCAAGCTGGATAATCTCGTATTTCAGCCTGAGTTCGAGTTAAAGACCTCACTCATTAAGTAGAAAATATACAAGTCTCTGTATTCGAAAGAAGATGCACGGACGTGACAATTTAGTGTGCGATGAATCGCACGTGGAGTCGCAACGAATAGGCGTACCGAATTAGCGTGGGTACGCAGCTTTGCGCGTGGGTAACTATGTATCGCGTATCGTGTATTCGATCGCAAATAGAATTTAACGCTATTCTTTCGAAATTATACTAAACAGAAAATCATTTTAATTAATTGTTAAACGATCCAAAACATTCCGATATACTGCTCATCAAACCTGCGATACAGCAGATTTGCAACTGAACCATCAAACTTGAGTATGTAATTTGTCGCATGGTAAATTATGCAGTGTAATTATGCAGTATAGGACCTACAACAGCGTAATTACTGAAATTTACAAGCTCTGTAGAACTGTTAGATCATCCGGAAATTTATAGCATTATATCATTGAATATTAAAATATTTTGTTTATAATTAGAATCAGAATATTATTAGTTGATTAATAAATATTCAGAATAAAGTTTAAATATACGCACTATTGTTAGTGATCACTTAAAATGATTGAAAATGGTGTTAAAATTGAATATTTGGGTAAAGAATATGTTGTATAATTATATTCAACTAGTTATGCAGTACAGTAAATCTAATCTCTTCGAATTGTAAATATAATTTTTAACATGTATTTTAATATGGAATTTTCAAAAACTGTTACATAAATGTCTGAAGATAAAAGTAACGTTCTTTAATCTTTCTAAAATAACTCGATTAAATGGTTTGATATTATATTTCCAATGTCATGCATATGTCTTGCTTTGAATGAAACATACGAAAATCGTCTGAAAATATTTATAATTATTTAATTTTTTGTAATAGTATTATTTATAATAAATATTTCATGGTATATTGGATGCATTTTGAAAGAACTCAAAAGTAAAAATATTGAACTTTTTGTGTTAAACTTTTAGGCGTATCTACTAGGCAGACTGGATCAAAATATTTAAATAATGTGAAGACAATAAGTGACAGATATAGTCACGAGTCGTCTGACACACTCGTGTTAGATTGGCAAATAAGTTTGATCGATATATTAGAGGTTCTATTTTAAATTAAAAATTTACCTACATACATATATTTTTCCTTGCAGTATATTCTAATTAGGAATAAAAGGAACAAGTTAAAGGAAGATATTTTTGATCTACTGTATCAGTACCTAATGTAGTAACGAATAGGATTGGCACTTAAGCGTTTACAAATTCAAATTAAATCTTTTATACAACAATAAGATAGCGCATAGAATTTTCGAGAAATATAAAAAATAGGTATTCTCCTAATGCACTTTAATTATTGTATTTTCAGTCGCATTTAACAACAAAAAAAATCAAATTTTGTAAATAATGTCAAACGAAACAGTCTAGCTACTATTTTCTTCGTAAAAATTTGATTTGTAGCACTCAGAATGTTTCCAATGAAGTTTTTTAATTTAACATCAGAAAATTAAATGAGAATGATGTATCATTGGTTCGGATAATGGAGCGTTCAGGTCCTATTCTACCTGAAAATGTCAAAAACATTCACGAACAAGTAAATAAAGAAATATAAAAAGAAAGAAAAACGCCAATGGTTGTAGGTAATAATGAAACATAAGAAACAAAGGACACCGACATCAAAAAAGAAAAAATATTTAAATAATGTGAAAACAATAAGTGACTTAAATCAATTACGATGACAGGATTGTGGGGGTAGCAAATCTTATCGAATATTTCTTCGAATTACTAATGATAATTTCATAGTAGAAACAAATATCGATTTGGAAGTGTTTCATAAGTCTAGCAAATAATTTCATACAATGAAATAAATTATTTATGAGCCTGGTATACTACATTTACTCGAAAGTAAATAACAAAAAAATGAAAGATAACAATTATATTAATAGAATGATTGAACTAGGATATTAATGCAAAATTCATGGAATCCATTTGTCAAGTTTGAAAAATCGAAAATATTTTCCGGATGACCTAATAAACAGTAACCAATAGTGTTTTTACCCGTAATACGAAAGAAACTGCATCAGTAAGCAACAGTATCAGAAAGCATTTCATAAAATAATAATTGAATAAAAGTTATCTTTGTACTTACAAACGTATTTAAAATATAACATGAACGCATTATATATTCAGCATTACTAACGCTTCTAACATGTATGTTTTAGATACACTGTTTAAAGAGACTATTTTGAAATTAACCTACGAAAAACAAACTGAATTATCTGTTTAAATGACTTATCTTATAGTTTCGATCTCCCATTATTAACTAAGTACTGTATCGTAGTTTGTACTTACAAGTTAATCTGTGAAAAGAGAATAGTAAACATTACATCTGATCACCGACAAAATGTCTTTATTCTGTTAAAGATGAATATAATTCTTAAAATAGTGTCAAGGAACGCGAACGGACGAAAAAGGACCTGAAGGAGGGGCACGAATCGCACTCTGACCAATCGTAGCACACACTTTCCACTTCAAACTCCAGCTTGTACATCGAAGCAAGTTTCATTATCATACTAGTCAGCAGTCATAGTTATCTAGTTTTCCAACTGTCTGTCCTTCGCAATTAAGCTATCAAGATTTCCCGAATCTCGACGATGGCAATTTACACGAGACATTGTCCGTTTAATCTCATGCCTCCTAAACAACATATCGTCACTTGGCTTGACTAAACCTCCCTTTCGTCGGTCGTCTGTGCGGGTGGCCCGAAATGGCCAGTAAATTCTCTTCGAAAGTGTCCACTGTGAAATCTTGTTCTTTCAGTAGCTTTGGCAATGATCTACTTGACTGACTGTCTTGTTTAAAAATTGAAGAACGATTTTTAATCAACGTCACGATACTGTTTCTTATATGCTGCTTGCGCTTTTGCGTCTGGAGGCGTCTTAATACAGTTGGGCGCAACCTAGATGGCGGCGGTGGAGGAGGTGGTGGCATTTTTGGTTTGGGTAACCGAGACGGTGGACCTGGTGGTAATCTACTTCCACCAGGCGTTCTATTCGGACACG